AAGCATCGGGCCCCAGTCTTCCCTTTTCAACTGCGCGTCGTTGCTTAGCATGTCGTGGAAAACTTGGCAATCAACGTCATGGGCATCCAATTCGCATTCTTCCAACAACAACAGCTGGAGCTCTTCGGGATGGCAAACTCCTGAGAAGAAGAAGAGTGAATGGAGTGAGCAACAACAGTGGGACTACGGATCCCCAACTGGAGTGCCCTTTGTTGAAGGGTTGCCGGATGAGTTTAAGCCAGACAAAACTCATCTAGACACCAAGGAGATCTATGGTAAGACCATGTTGAGACGCGTAGCGGCTACAAGCTGGGCAACAAAATATCGCCTGGCAGGCCGTGAGCTTGCTGATTTGCGTGTCACTGACTTATTATGGAAGGGATGGAGAAACAACCATCTCCGCGCGTTAAGCCATGGACAATATGTTTCAGTCGTCATCGCACGTCGTGTTAGCGAGTCCGTACTCACGTCACAGTTTCTCAGTTCTGTGAGAGAAAGCCGATGGGACCTCGATGAGGTTTCTGCTGAATACTGTAGACAGAATCCAGACAAAGTCTCCATCAAGAGCTCTATGAGCTCGGACGAGGTAAAAGCAGCTAGAACTCTTGCGTTGTCCAATCACATCATGGATACGCTTCGTCCTTTTGCTGGAAGTGCTTCGGGTTCATCGTCTTTTGCAGATCAGAGTCAGCGAATTGCAGACCTTCAGGCCCAATTGGAAGCTGAAAAGGCTAAGAATTCTACTTCTAACCCTGCAGCCATGAGTCAGCCTCCTGCCAAGCGCATGCGATTGTGCAGTAAAACTGCTGCAATCAATGCATTGCCGATTCAAGCCCCAGTGGCAGATCCTACGCAAGAGCTTGTGGATAAGGCTTTGGATCCTGATGCCATTATCAATTCCCGAGTTTTCCATGAAATTCCTACTCAAGGGGTGGCCAAGTCGAACATCTCCAAGTGGCTGAAGAATGTTAAGTCCAAAGTGGGCCCGGAAAAGGCCCAAACCATTGAGAAAGCCTTGGAGCTATCTCAGCAGCTTCATGCACAGCTGGATCCTATGGTTGTGCAACGGCTTCGTGACAAGTGTGCTCAGATCGGATTGCCGGTACAGTGGGCAACCAAGATCAAAGAGCCCGAGATTTATCAAGTTCTTATCGCAGCCACTTGTGTAGCTGACTGACTAGGCCCCATTGGCTCATGCAGTATGCCCTTTGACTGGCTTCATTCTCGCATTTATCTTGCTGCTCTAATGGCCCTTCTTCATGCTGTACAATGCTTTACTGAGCTTTTCAGCCTTCGAAGGCCCCTTCGGGTACTTAGTGCCTTCATTTGGCTACATGCAATACAGCATTCATCATCCTCTACCATTAGCATGGCCACCTGGAAAAGACGAACCAGTCGTTTTGTGGGCACCACACTGCTTCAACTCGCCAGGCTTTTTGAAGAACCGTTCGCCACCTACATCATCGTCATCCCTGCGCTGCACAAAAGACAATGGGACATGCTAGGTGTGTTGCTGGACCCCCAGAAAGTCTATGTGGGTTCTACCACTATTTCCGTCCATTCACGACAAGATGCTCGAATTCGCAAACTTCGCCTATTACAAGAGGGCAAGTTCACCAACACCGAAGTTATGGTACATTATTTTCATACTCATTCGGATTTCTTTTCCAGTCTTATTGTTCCTTTTAGTGCTTTTAACTCTAAAACCGATGTTCGCACTGCGGAATGTATGCTGATTCATGTATGGAAACCGCAACTGAACATGCCGTGGATTGCCAAGCTGAATCCTACATCGGCTACGCGCCGTTCTGTGCCACAACTGGGAACTACAACTTATTCAGCTCCAGGTCGTAGGCTTTGGCTTCGTGTGCGTCGTCGACTACGTACCCTTGGCATTTTTCGACTCTACAAGACTCAATGCCTTTCCCATAATGAGGGCTGGTCTTTTCTGGTATCTTTATCTCAGGGAGGCATGCAGTGCTACAACGCTGAGCGCGTATTGCGGAGTGCTCAGGTCAGCGATCTTCAGTGTTTTGCTCTTTTTCGTATGACAGCATTACTTGATGATCCCCCACGTACTGCAGTTCGTGCTATCCTGAAGAGGTGTTTACGGTTTCGTAACCTGCCTATCCCCCGCTGTTGCAAGCCTTTATGTTTGCCACTTTTGGCGCATTCTACGTATGCTGCCCATGTTAAAGATTGGATCCGTCGCAACACCTTGCGGTATAAAGACTACCTGATTCCATTTCATCTACCCAGCAAGACGGTTGTAGCAGGAAAGCACTGTTCTTTTCGTTCTGTATTATACAACAACCTTGCAACTGCTTCATCCTGGACTTGGGACCAACCTCCTATTTGTTCTTGCAGACGGTGGAAGCTTGAACACCCAGACCTGGAGACAGTGGATGGTCATATAGCGAGCCCAGCGTCGTTACTCAATGTTTCTGCACGTTTGAAGCGCTACCTGCAGTACTCTGCCGATTCACAAATCTACCCCAAGAAAGCCAGTTATCTACAGGATACATGGAAAGCAGTTCAACAGTGGTGCAATCATTATGGCTTGTTCGATGTCACCTTTCAGATGTGGGCAGATTTTGTTGAGCAAGAATGGTCTCAACATCTTCAAGAGTCTTTTGCTGCGTTGAAGTATAAAGATGTTCTTTACCTTCGCAACATTCTTGACGGATTCTTTGTCCGTGGTCGAGATCATGCCATCACACATACACATATCTTTTGTCCGTACTTTGCTTGGACCGTGTACAAGTCCACCTTTGGCGATACACAGGTCTATGAGCAGCTGAACATGTATGTATCCCAAGCTAGCGTCTTCCTTCAAGAGTCAACCAAGAGATCTTTTCTCAACAAGTACAAATGGGGAATCAATCTTCGTACCAGCAGTCTTCCCATTGCGTATCTTTTATTCAAGCGCAAGAAGCAGTATCGCGTGGCTCGCCCCATTATCAGCTACAGCTTCTTTGTGTATGCTCGCTTGTTTCGAGCCACATCTATTGTCTTGGACCTACTCATTCGAGATGTATGTCCCTTGTCGTTTGGACTCGCAACATTGCCGCAAATGTTAGGACAGCTGACAGCCTTTATGCAACAGCTACCTGATGACTTTTCTGCTGAGGTTCATAATCAAGACCTTATTGGTTTCTTTACGTCCATACCTGTACAACGAATACTGGACAGTGTTGGTGAGGTGGTTCAGCGCTATGTTCGCAAACATCGTGCTGACATTACCCAGGATGTGTTCTCAGTTCGATTGGATTTGCAAGATTCCAAGCTACGGGTATGGAAAGGACGTCCACGCAAAGGCGCCCAGAAGACGTATTTGGTGTATCTACAAGACGTTGTGGCGATCTGTCGTCTTAGTTGTGAATGCAGCGTTTTCACAGTTATGGGCAAAGTTTTTCGACAACAGCGGGGAGCAACTATAGGCAATCAGATCTCTCCTATGCTTGCGAACCTTACCGTATCGCTATTAGAACAACGTTACATGGAGGAGCATCAGCATGTCTTTCGGCGAGTGCCGCATTTCTATTGCGTGCGGTATGTGGACAATAGGTTGCTTATCTGTAGTGCCGATCACTCGCATTATTCAGCCTTGCAGCACTTATTCTCGGATATGTTTTACGAGTCGCCAGTTGAGCTTGAGCAAGTCATCTCTAACGACGCCGACCAGGAATTCCTAGGCTTCGACTTCATCTCTGTTGAATCCAGACTCCACCTACTGATTAGAGACGAGCCCTGGAAAATCAGACTTCCACAAAGTGCAGGACCCCTACATCAAAAGATTGCTGCTTTCACTTCGAAGAAACTGAGCATCCTTCGTCATGTTTGGCCTCCTGAAGATCGTGTAGATCAGCTTAGACTTCTCACACAGTTGTTTTTGAAGGCGGGCTTCGACCCAGCGTTACTTCGCTAGCAAAATCTAGTGTGTGCTCCTCTTGTGCTGCCTTTGCTGTTGCCTTTGTAGTTTCGTAGTTTTTGGTTCAGCATTATGTCGCTAGATCTGCGCTTACCTGATGGCAGAGTGTTGCGACTTCCTTGGTATCCTAATGCCGTAATTCCGGAGCCTACAGCATTCAGCCCTCCGTCGGCATCTATGGGAACTGCAACCACGCACAACACCATCCTCGACATTTCTAGCGAGGTGGATCTTGAAGCAAGCAGCTTCTTTGATGTTTCTTCAATACGGAATCTTTTGTCAACGCAGCTGACCCTACCTGAGCCGACCAACTCGACTGACCTCGTTGCCAGAGAAGTACTCCTACAAGATCGCGTTACTTTTGCGGATTTCGATCGTGTACTGGATACGCTACCATCGTCAGTGCTTTCGGATCGGTCCATCTTTCAACCGGATGACATCGCCTCTGGTTCGGTGCCTTCTACATCTCCTCTCCGGCGCTTACATACATGGTCCTCATGCTGGTCTTCATTCTGCGTTGAGGGTTTATCCCTGGCTCACCCGGTTACTAGTTTGTGTCGCTCGGACACAAGTCCCGAATCTCATTTTTTCATCGGTGTCCATCAATCGCAACTGTGTTGCTCGTATGCATCGTGATTCTCACAATCATGCCTTATTCAACAACCATATCATTCCTTTGTCTGTCTTTGAAGATGGACACCTTTGGATTGAGCATCCACAAGGCACCATTACCCTTAATGATGTACCGGGAATTGCTGTACCAGTTCAACTACCTTTCCTTGCTTTTGATCCTAGGTTACGACACGCTACCTTACCCTGGCAAGGAACCCGAACAATCCTCATTGCGTTTCACATTCGTTCCGCTTGGAGACTCTCTGAAGCCGATTTAGCTTCTCTCCGAAGCTACGGATTTACGCCTCATATTAGCGACGTGCGCGAAGATCCATACCTGTAAAGAGACTGACAAAAGAAAAACTGTCTGCTTCTGCCTGTTGCCTGTTGCTTATACGTGTACAAGTCTGTTTGTAGCTTTTGCTCAAGTTTCTTGTGGCTTTTCTTTCGACTTGCCATGCAACGTGCCGATATTCTCGGGTCGGCACTGGATCCGCTTTTGCCTCTTCAGCGCTGGATACAGTACACTCAAGGCGAGTTGCAGTCTCTTCGAGCAGACTGCCGACATCAGTTTGAGCAGATCACTTCAACTGAGCGTATTCAGCAGAGTCAGCTTGACTCGTTGCAGTCTCAAATCAGAGAGCTTGCTCAACAGCAAGCCCAGTTTTCAGCTGAAATGACAGAGATTGCCAATACAGTGACAGATCTTTGCAATAAGATACAGGAAACCCAGACCACGCTTAGAGGTCTTGTACAGGAGGTTCTCACGCACTTCTCAACGCAGCAGCAATCAGCACTGCCGGCTACACAGTTAGCCATCACACAGCCGGATGTGCCGTAAAGAGTTTACGAAATCTACGGCTCATTTGTTCAGTAGTGTCTGTTGTGACCAACGTTTGTTGTTTTGACTGTGGTTTCGGAATTGCAGCCGTTTGTTTTTGATCCAGTTTAGACAGCTGCCTCTTGCGTCCATTTACCATGAGCGATCGACAGCAAGATGTTCCCGAACAAGCAGCGTCTCCTCGTGCGTCGTCGTCGGCACAGTCCCCTTAAGACGCCGCAGCACGTCGTGAATGGTTGGCCCAGGCCCTTCTCGAAGTTTTGGAACACTCGGGCACCGACTCACCAGCATCTTCGACGACTCTTGACAGTAACTTCCGAGAGATGCTTGCACAGTTCATCGAGACGACCACCAACGAAATCAACAATCTGAAGCAGCGGGTAACAGCGCTAGAACTCCTCCATACGTAGATTGCTACTTGCGCCCTGCATCAAAATCAGGTGTACCATAGTACTACTCTTCGATTTCTTAGTCAACCGGCACAGACCGGGTAGGTGTGTGTGGAATTCCTGTTTCTAAGGAAGAGACTTTCTGAAGACTTTTCATCTTTGAAGACCATCGGAGATAGCGATTAATGTTGAATGCAGGGGGGCAATCTGCCCAGTCAGAGTGATTGCCCAACGAAGAGGCTCTGACTAGGCACTGAAATCAGTCTGGGACGCTGGACTGACGTACCTGCAGTGATGTCCAAAAAGAAGACATCTGTGTGAGCATGTAGTCTTGAGACCACATACAGACTTGTGTAACCCACTTCTACTTTCTGTTCTACTTGTTTTGTGAGTACTTCGTCCTATGTAGTTGGCTGGTAGAAGAAGTTGTAGAGCATCGGAAGACATTCCAGTAATCTTGAAGCTCTGAAGACCACTTTTGTCGAAGCGGTACAGAAAGAGTGCACAATTCGAAGCGTGAAGAGAAAGATGACGATTCGAGACAACCAGCTCAGACTGGGTATATGTGTGTGTGTGTGTGTGTGTGTGTGTGTGTGTGTGTGTGTGTGTGTGTGTGTGTGTGTGTGTGTGTGTGTGTGTGGGTGTGCTGTGTGGGTGTGCTGTGTGGGTGTGCTGTGTGGGTGTGCGGTGTGGGTGTGCGGTGTGGGTGTGCGGTGTGCGTGTG